CACATCTGCCTACTGAGTAACTTGGTCCCTGTGGTCTGTCCTGTTTCAAATTGAAACCTCTTGTGGCTTGATTGCCTTGGAGGGTGTGTGTGTGAGTAGTCTGAAAAACCTTGAATTTGTTCCAGTTCCAGTTATAAATGTATATTTGTGTCCTGTGGGAAAACTATACATATTTTGCACATTAATCAAAGAACACCAGTCAGCAGAAGTGCAATCAATCGTAGCACAAAGCAACCATCCTCCCTTTTTTTCCTTTTTTTTCCTTTCCTTTTTTCTTTTTGGAGGAATGTGTTGCATTTCATTGATCTGAGGTGATGGCTTCTTTTTTCTTTTTAAGGCTAAAGCAGCTCTCACAGAACAGGGCCCAACAGTACACCAATTAAATATTGGTTCGCTATAAAATTCAAGCTGACATTTTTAAAATAAATCCTTTTTTTTAAAAAAAAAGTATTCTTCCATTAGAAGCTGGTCTTTTCTCAGGGCATGGTTTTAATGCTCTTTTCTAAATGTTAATTTTCCAGATAGGTGAAAGGGATTTCTGCTTTTAAACATACTGACATATTGCTTTTAAGCATCTTTTTTAACAAGTGAGCAGATAAAAAGCAATGATCTGTGCTGGTATTTAATGTAGGCCTGGTCTCACTGATTTGCCCTCTGGTAATTGTTTGTGAATTCAATAAAATAGCCAGGAGGGGGAATTATCAAGTAATTTGATTACTTTGGAAGGTTTCATTCAGAGACAGCTATTTCCTTACATCCAGGGTTCCACAAGGGATGAACATAGGATCAAGATAATTTTTTCCTGGCTAGAATTAATCATGAGGCTATCCTGGCTTTCATATACCAAGCTTTACAAGTCCTCAGTCCAAACAGAGTCCTGAATGATTGGTTCTTGAAAAGGCTTGATGGAATGGTGACAACAACAGTAACAGCAACTAATTTGGATACCTGATAGGTTATAGATGAACTGAATGAGCCAGTGTTCTGTAATAAACACTACCTTAGTGTCTGAACCATTTCCTCATGGTGGGAGGGGAGACATGATGGGTTTCAACTTCTTCTCCCTCCATTATAATACCTCTGTGTTTGCAGTGCCTCAGATACTACCCAGTGCTGATTTAGTGGGTCACTTTACCATCAGTAGCATCAATCAGTGGTAGGGCAGATGGCCACCTTCTTTACTATATTGCCTTTCATTCCCTTTCTTCACTTATTTATCTTTTGCTTTCACTTAATTCCTGTTACTTTCTCCTGTTTGCCCAGACAACTCCCAACGTTTTCTTCTTGTTAGAAGAAAGAGCTTTTCCTTCTGCTCCCTTGCCTCTGCTTCACAGGGCAATATGGCAAGGTCTTATAAATCCTTCTGCATTTTTGCTGTAATTATACCTTGAAGTTTAACAGCCCCAAGATTCTTTTCTAAATGTATGGCACCTGTAATTGCGTTCTTCTGCCTTTAAGGTATCATTTTGTTCCCTTATTTAGATAACTGGCTCCTAGTTGTTCATTCTTATGACAAGCTATTTTGTCATATAGCTCAAGTTTTTCTGGTCTTAAGGTAACTTGGCCTATTATGAGGCAATTATGAGAAGTTTTTATCTTTTTCTCATGGATTATTCAGTTCGTAGGGATGATGATAGATACCACTAGAGGAGTCAATTTCCTAACATTGTCACATTCCCTTATATTTTAGGTGCTTTTAGTCAAGCTCTCTGTAACAAGAGTGAAAGCCAACACTGTTCCCCAGTTAGTGAGCCGTATGGTGGCTGTGACTTCACCCAACCTTGGATGTGCTCCCAATGGGGTGGTACCTCAATTCTGCTTCTCAGGTTGCAGACATAAGAGGGCTTATTTGATATTGGAGACTTTGCCAAACAAATAACTGCCTTACATTAATTTTTTGGGGGCGGGGGAGTGTTTTGATACTTGAAAGAATCATGGACAGGTAATGTTTCTGTGTGTGTGTATATATGTGTGTGTGTTTTTAAGTAGGGTTTTTTCCCTTAATATTTCAGGAATTTTGGTTTCTGTGTGAAGTAGTTTAGCTAGTTCTGCTTTCCATGCTGCAGTAGACTGGGATCCTCTGAAAATAATTTCCTTCTGTTGTTTACAGTGTGGTATACTGTATGTTGACTACAAAGCTATTGTATGGAATCTGAACATGGCTCTCATAATGGTTAAAATATTGTCACAACAGTGATGAATGAGACAACTGCTTAGAAAGCACCACAGATTGACATCTCTTGTTAAATTTTAATATTTATACTATCCACTTGGAATTTAAAGTGAATTTCTTTCTAATATATTCTTTCTTTCTTAGTCTGTTGATATAGTTGGGTAATTGTTTCCATGTATTAACGGCTATATGGCTTTGGAAGGGAGGGCCCATATGTTTCTTTCGTATCTTCTGGAGCATGAAATAATTTTTTCACCCATACTAAGTTGTCTTGCAGCCATCTGACATAAGATTTTCCTTTTGAAAATTTATTAAGAATCTTCAGTTTTGAATGAAAACAGTCCCATTTCCCTAGAGACAATAATTTGTGGGCCTCGTCAGACAATTGTTGACGATCTGACAGTTGTTCATCATGCATCTGGTAAAGAGACAAGTTATGTTGAGCCATTCTGAAAGGGCTCCTCTGGGTGGGTGGGTGTGCGTGTATGCATGTGTGTGCATGTGTAATCCCAAACGTCTGTTGTCTCACCAGTGATGCAAAAAAGGGATTTCTACTATTTAATGCAGAAGAATTCACCTGAATGCTGAGTTTTTAAATCTGCCCTCACCCTGAGTTTATCTGAACAAAGGCTGGAGTGGCAGTCTTTTTTCCCATTTAGGAAAGAAATTGTCTTGATTATTTTAGTTTCTGATGTTTAGCTTTTACTATAGTTAAAAAGTAGGTATAGAGAAACGTATGTGGAAAATCAAGCATAAATTCTAGGTAAAATATATTTTTAAAAGTAAAACTCTTTTTATTTATCTCTATATTGGGTAGCTGTTTTAGTTGAAGTATGAATGAAAAAGTCTCTGACTCAAGTCAACAGATTTATTCTGGAAAATCTTTTTAACAATTCTCCCTTGGTGCACTATTGAGTACTTTGATATATTTTGAATTTTATTGATTAATAATATTTCTAGTTCATATTAAAATCTTTTCTTTGCTGGTATAGAATCTGAATTGCTTTGCATGGCACCATGGTGCTGGTATGCAAAAGGGAGAATAGAGGCAGGCAAGAATTGATGTTTGAATGGTAGAGCAAGAACATTTAGTCTTAGTGGAGTGTGCAGTTTAGTTTGCTTCAGGTAGCACAGTATCTTGAATCACTGATTTGCCAGGGTTTAGTGGATAAGCAAAACAATGAAGGAAAGCTATATAGCAGTAGTTGTTCTCTAATGTTCATATTTGCCACTTTTACCATGGCATTTTGTAATGGTAAATAGTATCAAATTGAAACATTAGACTTTAATTGTATTACTGCTTCTCCAAAATGTATATGCTGTGCATGTTCAAGGCAACAAGAAAATAGCCTGATTTGCAGTTTTGTGAAAATACAGTCAAACCTCAGTCCACTTCATCAAGACTAAATCATGATTGAAGAAAATTGGATGATTCTTTTTCTTTTCCCAAATGCGGGCTTGAAGTCACGCTTTTGACCGCAATTTATTTATTTAGTCGTCTAGATACTCTCTTGACTCAGTTTCTGGAAAGCAGTGAAATGCCCCAGTGCCGTCAGAAAGCTGCAGATTTCTTTTTGGCTGGAGTAAAGCTGAGGGCTAAATGGGGCAACTTGAAGCACAGCCATTTGCAGCTACTTTTTGACTCTTGCCATGTCATGTTCTTGTAAGAAGCCAAGCTTATGAGCTGAAGTTCATATTATAAAAAAGAATGGCTTCACACTGTTTTGTACATAACAGCCTCACCCTCCTGTCTTTAGTTCTACTGGAAAACACACAGTAGACTTTGATAAGTAGCATAGTATTTTTAGAGAGTAATCTTATCATTATATGAGTACAGCAAGACACTGAGAACCTAATCACTGCTTGTTAAATGAAGGTTTTTCCAGAGAAGACTGTGGCTTATATGGTATCGTATTTAAAAATGGTCAGGATAATGAAAATAGAATTTGTTATTTAATATATATGGCTTGTTATGTACCTCAATTAAAATGTTTGCAAATCCAGGAGACCCAAGACTAAATGGGTGGTAGTTAAAGAAGACTGTGGAACAAATTTTTCCTTCAGCATCATCAGAAAGAGGTATCTTGACCTAGCTTGGCAAAAACATTCCATCAGAAGCCATTTGGGGAAATGCATCAGTCTAATTGTGTGGAATTAGATAAAGCAAGGTAGAATATATTAGGGTCTCTCAGGACCTTGGACAGATCCTTTAGACCGGTGTTGTCCAGAACATGGGAACAGTTGTCCCAGCAGGATGAAAGGATTTCTAATATGAGTGTCTCTAGACTTGCTTTACCTACTTCCTCTGAAAAGTGAGCTGTATCTCTTAAAGGTCTAATGGTATATTCTGTTCTTACAATATATGGTGATGAAGACTGACAGGCTCACATAGTGAAGATCCCAGTAGACCCATGTTCACCTGGCCAAATGATGCTTACCACTACATGTCATCTTCTTATCTGGGGTGAGAATGGGTAATAATCTCCAGAAAGCAATAGGAATTGAGTTATCAGTTGGGCACAGAGAACAACTTCATCTTGATGAATCATATATTGCTATTACTCTTAAAGTTTGTTTTTTAGCTTGGATATTGTGGCCACAGTGGCTGTTTATTTTATAAGTGATAAATCTGAATATGCAGGGAGAGAAAATAGAAACTAGAAGAGCAAAGCTGATGGTGGCATTTGGGAGGAAAAACTAGAGTGTGGATATTAGCATTTTGTTTAAGTCACAAGACGTTTTGAGATGACACTACAAAAGACATCCAGGAAAATGGAATTTACTCTTAAGTTTTTACTATAAAATGTTGCTCTATCTTCTGTTTCAGGAACAAGAAGATCCTAATAAACTTGCTACAAGCTGGCCAGACTATTATATTGATCGCATCAACTCCATGGCAGCAGTAAGTAGCCTCTTTGTCCTCTAGATATTGTCTTTACCTTTCTAACTTTGCTTGATCAGTTCCTCTACCCCAGTGCTGTGGGAGGGCCTGATTCTCCGCAGTAATCCAGCCTCCCCACCTTTCTACATTTTCCTGAATTGTAAATATTCAGAAAATCTTTAAGCTGGTGGTATGCAATTTCTGCCAGCTCAAGCATTACACCAGGCTTTCTGTGGTATGTCAAGGATGGTACTCCAAAAATGTGTTGGTCAGAACCTGTTTAAGAAGAATTTCAGATGAACTAAGGCATGAGGTCTTTAGACTATTGTTTTGCCTTTAAATCTCCTAAATCATGTAAAAAATGCAAAAAAAAAAAAAGTCCAGAGTTTGGCCTTACTTGGAGAGAGGAGATCAGAAAAGAGGAGCATATGGCTCCCAGTCAGCACTTTTGCCTTCCAGCTGTAAGCTCTTAAATTGGTGGAGAAAAATGGAAAGTGAAGGTGCTCATCAGTCAGAGGCTAGCTAGGAAATAAACTTATTTCTACTCTTCCATATTCTTCTAAAGAGGGCAAAAGCAGTAGGCCCTTATCTATCTGTCTGTCTATCATCTATCTATCTATCTATCTATCTATCTATCTATCTATCTATCTATCTATCTATCTATCTATCTATGGATGTTACTTCACTAATATTTGTTATAGTTCAAAACTTTCAAACTATCTGGCTATCTGTATTTCTGTTCCCTGCCATCTCAAGATATCTAGCTATGGATCTGTGATCCCATGATCCCACCCTCTTCCCTAGCCATTCAAGGGCTGCCCTGATCGCTTTCAGACTATAGAACAAATAAGTAGTTAATGCCTTTGTCTGATACAGTGAGAGGCAAGGAAGATAGGCATATTTTGGTAGTTCTTGGGAATCTCTTCTCTCATCTTCTGAAACACATGAAGTATTTGGTAGAATGGATCTTTATATGTCTGGGTACTTAGAAACACATGAAAATCCTTCTTCTTGCCATCTTCCTTCCTTCCTCTTTCAGCAATATAAAATGGTGAACGGTTCAGGCATTCTTCTTTCTGTCTTCGGTAGCCTGAACTTAAGAATGCAAGCCCCTTTCCTGCTCTGTAGGGGGGAAAAAGTTACTTTTGCACCACTGTGTTGCTTTTGGAAACTTGTCAGTACTTGTACTTCAAGATATATTCACATTGTAGAAAGGTTTGCAAACGAATGACTAAAGCTACTCTTTAGAACCGTGACCATCCTGAACATATGATGTGTGTGTCAAAGGCCAACAAGACAGCTGTTACGCATTTAAATTTCATAATTTAGAAATAATTTACTTGGAACATAACAGCTTGATGGAGCAGAAAAGAAAATACATCTTTCAGCACACCTAACTCCACTTTGGATAACTTTCAGTTCAACCCACTTCTATAAACAATGGGGACAAAGAACAGGCAATGCATGTAGGTTAATGTATAGGCAATTCATATAAGAATGATGTCAGATGTTTCCACTTTCCTTGTTCAGGTGTCAGAGTCACTGGATGAGGATTTTTGCTCCTTTTTAAATGTATATATACAAATTATCCCTAAGTTATTTGATACTGGCTCCTCCATCATTATGAATAAATCTCAAAAACAAAGCTTGGGAGGAATAAGATTAGTTGCTTAATGGCAGCCACTACTGGAGAGAGGTTGTCTGTAATACCCATCTCCAGGAGTGTTGGGGTGATTGGTTTTTGCAGTATTTAAATTTGATTTTGATGATTCCTTAAGAGTTAACTAATGGTAACTCTAAAGAAAAGTAAAACTTCAGTATAACTTGTCTTTGCAAAGGGCAGAGGGTACTTGTGAATGTGCCAAGAGAAGGAGAAGAAACGTTACATAATAGAAGAAAGTATAGATTAAGATCCGCTTTATTTTCTGAAAAGCCTTCCACTGAGATTGATTTTTAAAAACATTTTTGATATTTAACTTTTTTCTTGCTAACATTTTTAAACATTCTGTTTAACATTTTTACATTCTTTCTGTGATAGGCAGTCCTAGTTCTCTCTGTTAAGAGAGAGAGTAACTTGCTTGGTTTAGTGGAGTGAATCTGACTTTATGTAAAGATCAGTCTCAGAGTTTATTCCAAATCTGTGTGCCAGCTGTGTAGCATGCTGTACAGTGGTCAACCTGCTTGACTGACTGACCATCCTGAAGATTAAACTTGTGTTGGTGTATCCAACTCTGTGATTCTATAAGTTGAAAACACAAAGTGATATGGAAAGTTTGAAGGGAAAGGAGTAGGGTGAAAAGGTGCATGAGTGAAAGAGAAATTTTAATGGAAAATTGTATGTGAAACAGTTTCTCCAACTTAATTGGCCAAATAATGCTTGATTAATCTTGAATTGCTCAGTAATTTCAGCTTTCATCAAGTGTTGGATTCATAACTCTTTCTTTGTCTCATCCAAACAGATGCAGACACTATATGCTTTTGATGAAGAAGAAACAGAAATGAGGAATAAAATAGTTGAAGACTTGAAAACGGCTCTGAGAACGCAGCCCATGAGGTATTTCATACATTTTGCTTCCATTCATCAGATGCTTCTTGCGTTAGGACTGCCTATCATGGAAAGAATATAAGATACAGGATAATCCCTTCACTTGCTCTCAAAAATATCAGGTAGAGAACAGCAGGCTAACTGAGGATACATTTTATTTTCTCTTGGTATAAAGTTTTCAAACAAGCTTAGGGAGCAGAGTCTAGCTAAACCACCTTCTTTTTTTAAGCATATCTAAGTGTTGCTCAGATCTCAATTATGCACATTTCCCTTTCTAAATTTAGATCTTTGTCACCTTCCCCTTGAATCACACTGAATATATTGACCTATTGAAACTCTTTTTTCCTCTCTCTAGTTTTTTTCACCCGCAAACTCCTCTGCTTTTCTGATAATCTACTTGATCCTTTCTTACATTAACCCTATACATCTTCTTTCCCTACACTGCTTAAATCTATTGCCAAAATCAACTGGGCCTTATGCCTTTCAAGATTCTTTCTGTCTACCACTTTGTGAAATGCTGAGCTTCTAATATGTACCAACCAACTTTGAAAATGATTTGTCATTGATCCTTGGCTTGTTATTTCCAGTTTGGCAAATGCAGGTATCTGTCTATCTATCCATCTATCCATCTGGGGGCTTTTGGGGATGGCAGGGAAGAGAGGAGGAAAGGAAAATCAAATGAGAGAAATAGAGGAACAACATGGGAAGTTTGTAAATTGAAGTTGATATAATCTGAATTCATGTTAAATTCCATTTGTGCAGGCTGTGCGTGGTTATTGCACAGGATAAATCTCATCTGGTAGTATCCTGAATTGTTAAGCATAAAATATTAGGTAATCTGCATTTAGCTTTCTGCATTATTCACTAGAGTTGCACAGGGATTTGTAGACAAATAAAAAATGGCTGTTAAATTTGGTTTAGTCCTGCTATGATAGAATCTTTCTGTGTACCAGAGATGGAGAAATCACAAAGGGAGCGACCAATCACATTTACTTCTGTTACTGATGTAAGATAAGTTGTAGCCCTCAGTTTAAAAAATAATCATACTGAGAATTATTGATTAATCAGCTTCATCAGCTTCTTTTGTCCCTATTAGTTATTCCATAATATGAAGTGGATAGGGAGGACAATTTTTCCATTTGTCATGCTACAATGTATGTGGCATGTATATTGTGTATAGCTTCCTGTCATCCTTTTCCATCATGCCAGGAAGGACATTACTAATAGGACAGGCTTTCCTTCTGAAATCTCTGGGAGTTCATTTTGAATTTTTTCCAGATAAGCCCAGCATTACTTTGGCTAGAGACCTCTGACAGCAGGCATTTATTTCCTTTGTTTATAACAGCTGTAATGAGTGTCAGCAGCAGCAGCCACAAACTGTCACATAAAGTCTTTGCTCTTAAATTGCTGGCTGCAGCCCTGAGGGCTTATCCGTTCCTCCTCCTCCTCCTCCTCCATCATCAAGCCAAATTTCAAGTTAAGTCTCACGGCTCAACTGATTCCAGGGACTCAGTTTGCATGTTGCCAGACTGACTACATGCCAGCACCTGATACTTAAGCCAGTTTGGTCTTTAATGGAAAATAGAGGTTCTCGTGGCTCTGTCCAATCCTCTTTGATGGAAAGTCCTTCAAGATACTGGTCTTAGAACCAAAGAAGGATGGTTGCTGTTTTGTAGTGCCATTTCAAAAGCCATACAATCACACCTCTGGCAGAACCTGGGGTAGCAATAAACCTGCTTAGTGTTCATATTTGAATAATGTCTTGCTAAACTGAATATGTTTACAGCACATACTCACCCACAAATCCTTGAATTAAAATTAACTTTATGAAGTGTTTATGTAGCTTGCTAGCTGACTCTGCTGTAATTAGGTTTGTATCATACTTTGCCAAGGAGAAGTCAAACTTTGCACTTAAGACACCTCATTTGTGAGCTCAGAAATAATCACAACATATTAAACACATCTGCAGAATCTCTCCTGTTTCCAAGATCACCCTTGGACATTAGTGGTAGAAAAGTTAAAACAGAGGGAAGAGGCAAACTTCCTGTATATCTCACACAAGTCTTTCAAGTGACTTAGCTGGTAAATTTTGAACTTTCACCAAGTATTTCCAGGCTGTTTCTACATTTGATCCTGAGCTGTTCCTGACACTAGGGCTGTGCAGATCTTCAAAGGCCACTTTGCTTCATCAGAGATCCAATGCAAATTAGCTTAATAAAGGAGTGCCATGCAGAGTAGAAAGGTTACGCCACCCCCACTTGGCTCAGTAAGAGCTATTGGCCAGATAGGCTCTGCCTTGGTGCCTTGTTCTGCCTTGAGGTAGAACAACACAGTTCTGCAAGGGACTTTGCTGGTCATCAAGGCAGATCACCTACAACTGTTGATTGTACTTGTTTGTTTTTTAATTCATGCAATGATGTCTATAAAGTGAGAAGAACCTTGGGCATGCATGTAGCTGGCCACATTACTCAAACAAATAAAAAGCTGCATCATTTGTACTAGAGGGATTCTCCTGAGTATTTGGTGAAATCCCACTGTTCTTTCAGATGTAGGCTGCATAGTGAAGGAGGCACCACATTTATAGAACAGCTATTTTTCCCCCTTATAAGAAGAGTGTGAGGTCCAAATTGGGCTAAAATTTCTTTCTGTAAAGTGAATGGGTCCTTTGGTATGAAAGGTAGATTTTTGTAATAAAGTTGAATTTTGATAGTAGCAGTTGTACATAACTCCAAGTCTGGCACAACTGAACTTTAGCAATTAGACCCAATTCAGCAATAACGAAGTGCTCAATCACACCACTTAGGGAGGAGCTGACAATAAAATGAAGGAAAGGATTGGAAGAAAATGAAGATTTCCTTGTGAGTTGGTTGTAACCATAAGTAACTATGATTATAAAAATATCAGGCTTAGAAACATATGGAAAATTTGTACTGCCGCTTCTGTTAGTCATCAGTTACCTTGGCAAGGCAGGATGCTATGGAAAAGAAAAAGTTCTAAGTGGAATATGCAAAACTTAGCTGGACATCAGCAGACCTTTGTTAAAGAATGAACAAAATGGAAAGGCATCAAGAAAACCTTTTTTTTCTTTTAGCCAAGAAATACTTCCACCATCTAACTGATTAAAAAAAAAAAAATCACTGGAAAATGTGTCTTTTATTTTACCACTGTTTGTCTTGTTATTCTTCTGATGACCTCTGGTAGATGGAACCTATTTTAGTGCATATTTCAAGTGGGACAGAAGACCAGAATTTTTCAATGGTGAACGTGTCTCTTGATTACAATATCTGAAGTGAAAGTGGAATGGGACAGCAGCTGCCAGTTAGCTTTGGGGTGTGCAGGGCAATTATGACTTTTCTTTTCCCCAGAATGTGGTATGAATTAAACCCACACAAGTGCTGCTGTAGGGCACCTTTAAGTCCTATGTCCATAAAGAGCAGGTGTTTTTCTGAATGAAGCCTGCTCTGAGTTAACTTCAGCCTGCAGATTGGGGTGTCTCGTAACTGGACATTCCATATGAATGAGTTTCTTTTTCCTTACCCATAGAAAATCAAGATGTCAGGGAAAATGCTATATTAGAATCTCTTCCTTGACATGTTAGTTCTCCATGTGCAGGACTTTTCGTATGAAGGGACATTCACCTGCCCCTCCCATATAATTTAAAATTCTTAAATCTGTTCTTCTTTGTATTCTCATCTTTAAAAACAATATCAAAGAATAGCAAAGTACTAAAGTGACATCAGTGGATTTGCATTATTCTGTAGCAGGTTATGCACAAACTCTGTTGGACAAGTGCTTCATTTGTGCAATGAATAGCGTGTCAGTGACCACGTTCCAAGAAGTGGATAGGGCTAGGGCAAAAATTCAGTATGATTTAATATAAACTAAACATAAATTTGACGTCCTTACACATTCATGCCAGCTTGACTAAGATGCATGCTTGACTACAGCTGTTGGATCAACCATAGGTGTCATTTGGTGAACTAGGAGCAACAATATTCAAATTGCAGTGGCTGGGTTCACACAATAGTCACAGCAAAACTAAAAAAATCTGTATGATAGCCTGGCACAATATGCAGATGGAGCTGGTTGTTAGAGCATGTAGAATAATTGTAATACAGTATGTAGAAATGCCCACGTTAAGATCTGCAGTCAATGAAACTCTATGGTTTTCTAGAAGAAAAATAGGAACACAAACACATCCAAGGATGGGGAATCGGTGGCCTTCCAGGAATTGCAGAACAATGACTCCCAACTGGGCATGTTGCCTGGGAATGTTGGGATTTGGAGGACTGCAGGTTTCCTGGATGAGACTCCAGAAGGTAACACCAAATGTCACTGGTGCTTCATTCTCTCCTTCGAAGCAGGCAGGAATGTTGCTCTGCAAAGCAGTTTAGAAGGAATGCTTTGCTCAGGGTGTTGAAGCCAAGGCTCCTTTGAAAGCGTTACTAGATAGGAAAGAAAACTGTTCTGTCATAGCTTTCTCTCTGCTGTGTTAGTTTTCTTAGAACAGGTTTTCCTCCTCTCTGGACAGCATTCAACAATGTCTTTCCTCAACTGAAAACCCATCCATAGGTGAAAGACAGCATAAAAACGTTAAGATGAAAATGTTACTTAAATGCTAAGGCTGTGTTTAAGTCACACAAAGAAACAGTTACCTTTTCTGGAAATGGGAAATGTAATCCTGGGACTGGAAAGCCAAAACAAAGAGTAGGCAAGCAAAAACGTTGCCATCTTCATGCTCTTTCGTTGCTTATGTCAATGAATGTTGGAAAGCATCCTGTTCTTCCCCAAAGTGATTTGCATATCCCGGCCATTTAATGCATTTTCTGTCTAACCATTTGTGGTATGTGTTTGCTCTTAAGCTTTGTTTGTTCTCACAGACCAATTTTAAAGTCCAGGCTTGAACAGGCACCAAACCTCAAACTGAACCTCTTGATACTCTGTAAGGTTTTGGTTTTCTCCAAGCCTTTAACCAGTGAGATAAGGTTGCTAAAGAGAAAGATGATCAGCCACTTAAGGCATCTGCCCCAAATTTTACATAGTTTCTCTGATTCCCCTTTTGGAATAAAATATACTTATCCCAGATACAGTATTCCTGTTATTTGGTATATTTTGTACATGTGCACTGGAAGGTCATGTTTTATGGTCTTCTCTGAAGGAAGTACTGCAAAGTAATGTGATATTGGGAGTCACATGATTTGTGTTAAATTTCAAAACTCCAAATACTGTATATGAAACAGACCTGCATGTTTGCCAGTCATGCCACTAATGGTTGTTCCATGGAAATTGTGTTGGTACCATCTTACATTTGAATTGTTTTGTTCTGCTGATGGCCATTTGAAATGAATCTCCCAGTCCCATTTTTTTTTTTATGATTCATTTATTTATTTTATTTATTCCAGGGCTAAAAATCTATAGACTACTTTAAGCCATAAGGGATTTGTCCTCAGTTGCACAACTTTGATTTTAACAAGGAACATTTGCTCAGTTTTAATTTTTATCATCTTAAATGGTATAAAATCTTCCATTTTTGCATCCCCTATCACAAATTTAGCTCTAGACTATACCAACAACAAATTATTGCTCAAACTATTTCTTGACTGTGTAATGCAGAAACGTTCAGCTGGGATTCTATGAATGCATCCTTTCCCAGATTAAGTAACTGCTTGCTCATAGGTCTGTATGAAATGGCCATGCCTTGCCTTGATTAAGCACAGTGAAGCATCTCCTTCAAGTAGCAGTTGCCTTAGGGCTGGGAAGGTGGCAAACAGAAGCTCAGCCATTCAGTTTCATCAGTGATATAGCCATCTCTGCATCAGTAGCAAGTATCATGATGTTAGGTTTCATGGCTATACATGTTCTTAAATATATATATAGCATTATAATGATACAGGAGAAGATAACACATTGCAAACAGTGGAGTAGAAAGAAATGAAACGCTGAAGGAACAAAGATTATTAAAGTTTCTATTTGTTGTAGAGTATGATACACACTTTCTTGCATAGGGAACTGTTAAATATACTGTTTATGTTTTTATAAGTATTTATAAGAATATGCATGTATATTTTTACACAGAGTTGTAGGGGGCTCACAAGAAGTCACAATAAAAACATTATTTTAAACTATAGAAATAGAAAACACAAAATAGCAGGAGGGGGGAAAAAGTACCTAATGAACATCTTTCAATAGCATATGATAAAAATAGCATATGATAAAAGCAGCAAAGAGGATTACAACTAAAGACCTTCCTAAAAATAGGTCGCCACTAGCTTCTGGAAGATTGTTGGTGAGCAAATGAAATGCGTCTCCCTGAGAAGAATTCTAAAATGTTTATACAACTATCCAAAAATCTCTCTCAGGCAATGTTGGAATTTACAAGAGACTGAGAACTTGCAAGGGTAACCTCGATATACAGGAAGATTCATTTTGGAGAAAGTGGTCTTTCAAACATCATAGTCCTACCTTTTCAGGTTCTGTGCATAACTGCATATGGTGCTTCAGACTTCCCCCTCCCTCCCAAATTGTCCAAGATGTCATAGGATTTCAGCATTCCTGCATGTTATATCTAAGATATAAGAAAAATTTGGGAAATTTTTGAGAGATGGCCATCTTGCACGGTTTGGGCCATTTAAAAAAAAATACTATTTTAATATAATGTGGAAGTGTTAAGAGGGCTGTTTTGGGGGTCAGTAGATTCTCTGACTCTCACAGTATCATTTGACCCCAAGCAGTGCACTCCCAGTGCCTGTCAATGTTGAATGTATTTGAATTGTACCTGGAAACAAATTAGAAGCAAGTACATTTGAATAAATGATGGTGCATTGTTTCTAAGTAGGTATTTTAAGTGACAATAAGTAGTTTTCTGTTATTTTCCCTTGTCTGTACAGTAGGTTACTTAAGACTACCAGTCTGATTTTTTTGAGAGATTTTTCCACTGTATTAGGTACGTAGTTTGAGAAATGCCTATTTTAAATTCTTGAGCTAAATTCATAGATAACTGTTTATATAATTTTCAACACAGTATTCTTTCATGATTCCAATACAGTAGCCATATTTCTAATTGAGATCTCAGTGAGTACTAGCTAGTCTTTAAGAAAGATCTAAATGGAGATTTTCCCCTTGGGCTTGACTGTTGAGAATATAATCATTCTTTGTTTGAAAAGAAACATATTCTATAGAGCATTTTCAGCCAATGGCAACTTTATAGGTTTAATACTCTCATAAATAAGGAAAATGTAACAATATATAGATAGTGGGCAAATAGTATTTTATCTATTTTAGTAGATGATCTGCAGTTTAAACTCAACTTAGTACAAGTCTTTAACTTTCATTTTCTGCTGGCAGACACTAAAATGTTACATAATATATACTGACATTCCTTGATTTTCATGCCTCAGCAAAGAAATACAAAATCAGACAGTTTATTTCCATTATTTGTTTTCATCAGGGATCAATATTTTAACCAAACAGCTGTCTCACAGTGAGGACGGTATGTTAGTTATTTTCTGGCATAGAAAGAGGATGCTTGGATAGGAGAAAATGCAGGCAAAAGGCACATACTGTTAATAAGGTGAAATGACCTTTGGAATAGGACAGCAAACATTTATCCTTGTGGAAATTGTTTTGTTTAGGTCAAGTGAGTGGTTGCTTTTTCAGATTATTTTATTTCGGATCATTTAAATGTATGATGTTGATCCATAATACAATTTATCTTTGTAGCAGAAAACAGAGGACACTGAACAAATTTCATTCCAACATACACATCTGTCTCTAAAAGTGTTTGTTCTGATCCTTGGCTGCATATACTTTAGAGTTTCCCACAGACTTCTGAAGTTAAGAGAAGAGGCAATTTGATTGTTTCATTAATCTGACACCATTTATGCAAAGTGCCTTAATTGTCTTTATTGTCTTTTTCTTTGCTATCTCTGGACAGATTCGTAATAAGATTTATTGAGCTGGATGGCTTGAGCTGTTTGCTAAACTTTTTGAAGAGCATGGACTATGAAACCTCTGAAAGCCGTATACACACATCCGTTATAGGATGCATCAAGGCTCTGATGAACAACTCCCAAGGACGTGCCCATGTTCTAGCCCACCCAGAAAGCATCAATATAATTTCTCAGAGCTTACGGACTGAGAACATCAAAACCAAGATTGCTGTGCTGGAGATCCTTGGGGCTGTTTGCTTAGTGCCAGGAGGTCACAAAAAGGTTTTGCAGGCCATGCTTCATTACCAGGTCTATGCGGCAGAGAGGACAAGATTCCAGGTAAAAATGATGCATTGAACAAGGTGGTCTTTAGAGCTGGTTCTCTGCATAAAGCAGGATGAGCATTATTGTTTTTCTGATCAACTAAAATGAAGCATGCCTACCTGAAAAGTATTCAGGTAATTGATACTGATCAAGCATAGGGTCATATTTGCATTATTGTTTAATAACCCTCCATATCTTAATTTTACTACTCAAGAGAGTCATTTCACCTAGTTTATGAAATCAATAATGTGTGAGTTCCTCACTGTGTTTGTGAGAATTTTGGTCCGGTGTGCTAGAACTTTTCAGAGTATAGCAGGCAGAGGAGCAGCTGTCATAAAATGGCCAATCATGTACCGCCTGTTTTTCAGGGGGAAAAAAAGAAGAAAACTAGTGAAGCTTCTCCCCTCTAGGCACTTTACTCCAATTTACTTTTTATCTTTTCTGAACAGATAGGCAACTATTCACCATTTTTCTCTTTCATAGAATAAAAATAGGGCCAAGAGCATTTTTGTAAATACAAGTGATGCCAGAGGTTTTGCAGCGTACCAGCTTCTAAGTATTTACTGACTGACTGAAATAATCTCAAAAATAATAATAATCAGGCAGGTCAGGGAGCCCATGGTCATCCTGCTGACTGCATTTGTCCTAAAACTTCTCTTAGCAGTAATGTTACTAGCATTACAAAATAAGGAACAAAGGCAGCTTCTCCCAGGTATAAGTATGTGTAGTTCCAATTGCTTAAGGATACTTGGACTGAAATAAGTACCTGAGTACGTAAAGCAAATGTGGATATGAAATAACAGAGCAATTCATAGGATCCCTAGTGGCCTGAATGTTGGACATTGAGCATAACATTCTTAACTTGCTTTGTTTTTGGAAACACCTTCATGATACTGAGAAAACTGAGTCTTAATGTTGTGATTAGAATTCTGCATTCTGGGGTGTGCAATAGTTGGATGCAAAGCGGGAAGGGTACTTTGGATCCAGTGTGGGTGAGCTCTCTGTAGTTGCCAGTGGCTCCTTAAAGAAGCTGTGTCTTTTCCTGGGCTTCCTTATAATCCCAGGAAAATGTACACATTTCAAGAATAAAAAGATAATTATTCTTTTATTTATAGGCCAACTCCAACCTAATAGTCATAATGTCAATAATATACTGTATATAACAGTGTTTCTCAACCTTAGCAACTTTAAGACATGTGGACTTCAACTCCCAGAATTCCCTAGCCAGCATGTTGGCTGGGAAATTCTGAGAGTTGAAGTCCACATATCTTAAAATTGCTAAGGTTGAGAAACACTGAATTAGACTATGCATAATTACTCTGTCACTACTTCCTTAACTCAGGCATCTATTTTCCAAGACTTTATTTAAGGAGCCAGTGACAGATGCAGGAAGTGTGCTCACACCAGATCCAAGCATCTTTCCTACTGCAGATCCAAATACTGAATACCTCTGTTACCAAATACTGGAATACCAAATACTGAATACCAATGTACATATATGTAAAAGTAGCCTCAGAGTCAGGTACTTTGTTTTAGATATGTAGATGTGGGAACTTGCTCCTAGAATGTTGTCTAAATGAACCTTTGAAAACAGTGGAATAAAAAACTAGGACTAGAAACCCATTGTCCTAATATCTCTCTCTCTAACAGTCTAAAACTGAGTAAAAATAACTCAGAAAATAAGTAATTTCTTAATGAATATAGAATAGCATAGTTTTTACAGTATGTATGTGGCTACACTTTTGACAAATTATTTATTGTTTGCAGAATATTTTATGAACCTTTAGGGAATTAACATCCTATCATATGCATGAATGTGCAGAATGTGCAATATATACATTTATTGTGTAAAAGGAGTTAAGGATGAACCTTAGCCCGCTTGTTTTTTAATCCCAGTAAGGACACGGTTCTGTTTTGTTTGTTTTTCTGATGTCTGTGCCTGAATGTCATCCTTTCTTTCTGCAAAGTTTCTTTCAACAGTCCAAAGTTAAACTTGTCCAAGGTAACTTCAAGTCTTCTTTCTCTCTTTGAGTTTGGCATCAGAAGTGCTGATGTTAGCATAACAGATTCACAGTTAAATCTAGCTTGGCTGTTTCTATTATTATGAATATTCATGCATTTATGGTTGTCAGATTTCTGTGATTAAAATCCAGCAGTTATTGCAGGAAAAAACCACTTAGTCATCCCCAAAAGATTGATATGATAGTGCTCTAAATCAATTATCTAAGAATATTTTGAGGTTTGGATTAACTTCTTACCCAAAGTATGGATAGAAGTTTGTGAGGAATTGTATCCCTTGCATACTTTTCTGGATAAGGGGTGAGCTATGAAACATACAGAAATTTTATCAGAAACATACAGAAATTTTATCAGAAACATATAGACATTTTATCAGAAAAATGTCTTCACAACAGTTTTGGTTCAGCTTTAGCAATCATGCCTTATATATATTGTAGAGACAGCATCATTGCTAAGGAATGTACAATTGATACCTCTAATTTTTACTGTGATATTTACAACCAAGGCTATGCAAATATCTGGGAAATCCTTCAACTCCCTGTTGACATTTTAAGAGGAAATGCCTCCTGTCATCTAAGCAATATCATTTAAATTTGCCCAGAGAATGGAATATTCCACAGGGTTTGAAACTTGCTGATTTAAGCTAATTCCAGGCAGTCACCATATGTCTCCCGGCATCTTCCCTTGGATATTACCATTCAGCCTCAAACATCAGCCCTGGTGTTTTACAAGTGGCTATTTGGCACTGACAGCAAAAGTGTTATTAACATTTTTCCTGAATAGTAAAAATTAATGATGAAAAACCCTCTCAGCCAAAATAACAAAGCAGTGAAGACACTGAGTAGAAGGAATTTCTTTTGGCTTTGTTGGTCTCTGAATGAAGAGGAAATTGTGGGTTAGTAATTTGACGGAGGAAACATTTGAAACTCTTTGCCTTCCTGGATGAATAAAGTGAAGATGACGAGAGACTATATACATCCTCCTCCAATATGGTCCATTGGCCAACCATCCCGTTTTTACATATGTATGCAAATTCATGTATATGTACAAGCCAGGCCAGATGCCAGAATGGGGAATTCCGGTCATCTCAGCCCGCCCCACTTGGTCCAGCAGAAGGGGCAGGTTGCAGACCCCACCCTTCAAGGAATTTCGAT